AGCGTTCTCGAGGATCATGGTGGTTAAGGTCTCCTTCGATCAAACCTACGCCCACTTCGGCTCGGAGATGCGGGTGTGCGCGGTGCGCCTCCACCGCGACACGGCGAAAGCTTCCAGAGGCTTTAAGGGGGCTCACAACACATGGTGGCCGAGGCTGGCGGCCATCTTGCAGGAAGACAATGTTGGCATCCTTTGTGGGGATTTCAACGTGGCGCTCGCACGGGCGCTTCCGAGCCTGCGGGGTCTAGGCTTGCGATTGGAGACGGCAGCAGCGTATTTCTGGCGCGGATTGGACGGCGCCCCGTGCTTGGACAGCTGCGGCATCTTCGTTCTCAGCAGGCCTGGCGAGTGCACCCTGTGCTGGCCGCTGAGCGCCGTGCGCGACAGAGACGAGACGGGGTTGCTCTTCGCGCGCAAGTCGGTGATCGGTGAGATCGGGCACCGGAACATATGCAAGGCGGAGGCTCCCGCAGCAGCGGGGGCCCCCAGCAGCCCAGCATCGGGGCCGACGTACTGGCGCCGCAAGCAGGCAGGGTGCCCTGGGATGCCTTACGATCGCTACTACCCGAGAAAAGACGCCCGCGAACACCTCCAGGATTTACTGACTCAGTCAGAGGAATGCCAGCGTAAGATCCAAGAGAAGGAGCGTGAGGAACAGAGGCGCGCCGAGGCTGAGGCTTGAGGGGGCCGCCGCTTCTCTAGCATTCGCGAGGTGGCCCTCTTCCGCGCGGCGCAGGAGACGTTCGCACCTGAGACCGTGGAGGTGGAGGGGCGCTCGCACGGCGGCGCCCGCTACCCTCTCCTGTTCCAAATGCGCGCGGCCAGATCGCGTTCGCAGGGAAGGGGGCAGGGGGGGCACAGCGAGAAGAAGGACAGGCGCGCCCAGAGAGCGCAAGCAGCTGCGCTCCAGGGCGCCGCAGCAGCGGCACCTAGCGCCGCGGCGGCGCCCGAGCAGCGCGGGCCCGAGCGCCGGGCACCAGAGCAGCATCAGCGCGCCCAACAGGCGTGGCGCCTGCCAAGATGGGCAGACAAGGCGCGGACGGCGACCGCGACTGGCCCGCGGCGGCTGGCGATGGAAGGTCGCGGCGGGGGGTTTAGGGGGGGGGGGGGGGGGCGCGGGTGGGGTGGGTGGGTGGGTGGGTGGGTGGGTGGGTGGGTGGGGTGGGGGGTGGGGTGGGGTGGGGGGTGGGGGGGGGGGGGGGCAGGGGGGGGGAGGGAATGGCAAATAGGCTGAGCAGGACGAGGGGTGGCATGAGGAAATGGGCGTCGGGAAGGGGCGGGAGTTGTCAGGAAAATGATAATTATATAGATAGTTAATTACTTATCGCCCCCAAGGTCGCGGCCGACTCCGCAATGCCTCCGCCGCTGGAGCAGCGATGGCAAGGGTTGCAAGAGCAAGAGCAGCAGCCGCAGGAGGCGCCGCGGCAAGCCGCCAGAGCCCCCGCAGCAGCGGGGGCCACAGACGCCGTGGGAGCGCCCGACAGACGGGGGGTGCCGCACGGATGATTTGCGCGGCACATCGCGGGGCTGGGGGCGCGCCGGGGAGGGGGGGGGGGGCGCGGCTTCCTCGGTGCAGGGCGGCAGGGTCGACTCCGCCTGGCGCGACATGCAAGTGGCATTCGGCAGCGAATCGCGCCCCAGTGGCTGGTGCAGCAGCCGCGGTGGGTGGAGTGGCGGCCAGGGGCGCTGCGAGGCCGCGCATGCGATCGCCTGGAGGTGGGCCGAACACCCCCCCGAGACCAATCCCTGGGTCAAACTTAATTAGCTGAGCCATCGCACAGGGCCGCCCCTCCGCAGCAGCGGGGGGGGGGCTCATCAGTCGAAGGTCGCCGTCTCCGCAGCTGCGGGGGCCTTGCCGGCGCATCGTGAGCGGCGGCGAGTCGCGCGCGCCGTCGGGTTCGGCGACCGCTGCCCGAGCGGAGAAGGAAAAAGAAACGGTGCTTTCTTCGGTGCTGTCGTTGCCTCTTTTCCTTCGTCGTTTTCTTTTCTCTCCCATTCCAATCCCTCATCCCGCCATCGCATTTTATCGTCTCCAATGGTATCGGGGGCCCCCGTGGCAGAAGAGCCCCCAGAACGAGCCCCTCCGTGACAGAGGGGGGTCAGGGCCCCTCTCTGACAGAGGAGGGGGGGCCAAAAAACAATTTATCACTTTGATGTGGCTTTTGGATGAGGTCTGCCCACCCCAGGGCCGTGCGGCGTCCCGGCCTCGCAATTCGCAGATGTGCTAAAGCCCCGCGGTGCTAGGTGGAAGCCACGGTGTGATAATGCGTAGGTTCTGTGCCAAGAGAATCCATAGGGGCACGCGCGGGAGTCCTCGTAGTGCACGCCTCGATGCTTTTTTCGATCTCACGGGGCTCGCGATAGCGAGAGGCCGGCTCGAAAAGCGGCCCCCCCTTGTTTTTGCGCGTCAGAGGCGAGGCATCCCCGCGTTGTGCTGCGACATCGGCCCGCGATTGGCATTGAAAAACGTGGGGGGTGAGGCGTGACATAACTCATGCTGAGCTATACTTCAGTTTTTGCGGTGTGTGTTGCGGCAGCAGAGAATGCCTGTTGCGATGCATGAATACATGTTCCAGTATATGGCGCTGGGAAACATTGGATTGACGTGAGACAGCAAAACAACAGGTTGGTACCACGAAAAGACTGTTCAACCCGTGCGTCATTTATTTTTTTGTGGAAATATAGAACGTGTGTGAATAATACAACACATCTATCGAAGATGCCTGCGGCGAATCGCCGCTGCCCTTTGCCTTGCTGGAATCGCCCATGTGGCCGAGTGTTGTGGCCAGAGCTCTGCCAAACTATCGGAACACGTGCCCCCCCATCCGTTGTGGAAACCCTTGGGAACACGCGGTAAAGAAAACAGAAGCGGACGAGAGGGGGGAAATATAGAGAGGAAGAAAAGGAGGAGGAGGAGGAGGAGGAGGAGGAGGAGGAGGAGGAGGAGGAGGAGGAGGAGGAGGAGGAGGAGGAGGAGGAGGAGGAGGAGGAGGAGGAGGAGGAGGAGGAGGAGGAGGAGGAGGAGGAGGAGGAGGAGGAGGAGGAAAAGGAGGAGGAGGTGGAGGAAGAGGAGGAGGAGGATGATGAGGAGGAAAAGGAGGAGGAGGAGGAGGAGGAGGAGGAGGAGGAGAGGAGGAGGAGGAGGAGGGAGGAGGAGGAGGAGGAGGAGGAGGTGGAGGTGGAGGAGGAGGAGGAGGAGGAGGAGGACGAGGACGAGGAGGAGGAGGCGGAGGCGGAGGAGGAGGAGGGGGAGGAGGGGGGGGGAGGAGGAGGAGGAGGAGGAGGAGGAGGAGGTGGAGGAGGAGGAGCAGGAGGAGGAGGAGGACGAGGACGAGGAGGAGGAGGCGGAGGCGGAGGAGGAGGAGGGGGAGGAGGGAGGAGGAGGAGGAGGGAGGAGGAGGAGGAGGAGGAGGAGGAAGAAGACTCTTGGGGCCTCCTGGGAGCTTTTTGGGGTCTCTTGGAGGCCTTTTGGGAGCCTCCTTGGGCCTCTTACGTGCCTCATGTGGCTTCTTGAGGGCCTGTTTGGCCGTCCTAGACCAGAGCGTTCCTGGCCCGTCTGACGCCGTCGGAAGCCATCTTGGGGGCCTCTCTGAATCGACTTGGAGCCATCTTGGTGCGGTCCAGGGCCGTCTCGGAGGCCACCTTGGGCGTCGTGGAGGCCTTCTTGGCCAGCTTGGGGCCGGCTTGGGGCCGTCTTGGGGCCCCCCTGGGCCGTTCTGTCTGGGTCTTGGAAGCTTTTTGGGCGACCTTGGGGCGATTTCCGGGGGTGGCCCTCCCCCGGGTGCCGCGGGCGGCCGCCACGTCGGCCCCAGCAGGAGCGCGGCGCGCTCCCCGCTCGCACCGCCGCGCCCCTGCGGCCCTGGCCTCCCGCGGATTCTTCCTGCCTCGCGGCTCTCTGGCCGGCTTTCCAGTTTTGGTGATTTGCTCGCGCTCGGGATGGCGCAATCGGGAGCCGCTCGGCGCGGTATGAGCGATGGACTGATTGAAGTCGGTCGGCCCCTGCGTTTTTGCCGGTAGTGAGATCTCCTCGCGTTGCCCCCGCCTCGGCGATTGCCCTCGGGCTGCCTCCCAGGCCTCGATCCCGCGCGCTGCACCGCGCTCCTCCTGTCGGCGACGTTGTCGCTCTGCTCTTGCCTCCTCCTCGGTGTGCGACGCTGGGTGGCACCTTTGATAGCCTCCTCGCTCGTTCCTTCTCTCGTCTGCTCCGTATGGGCGAACCCTGTGCTCCCTGCTTGTTGCTGCGCGAGTCCCCGGCCGCTCTTTTGAGGCCTCGTCAGCGTTCTCTGGGCTGCTGGCTGATCGACTCCGCTGCGTCGCTGCGCCCGCGCGGCCCCGACGTCAAAAAGCGTATGTGAGCGATGAGGGTTGGGTCGGCCCGGCCGTGTTTGGTCAAAGTCAGCGCCCAGATACTTTCCTAGACACCATCTTGACCAGTCTGTCCAGCTGAGTCCGGCCGGGCCTCGAGGGCCTCCCAAGATATCTTTAAAACGGCCAGAAGGGCTTGGAACGCGCGTCGGTTCCGGGAAGTTCTTGGAAAAAGGCAGCAGTTCCGCGCGCCGCGCGTCGCAAGGCCAAGAGGCAGTTACACGCCGTGGGCTGTGCTGGGTATCGTTCTCTCTGGCCCTCGTTCGGACACACACCTCGCCCTTTTCTTCCACCTCTTCCGCGATCATTTCTCTCATGCTTTGTGCCTCGTCCCTGCTCCCCTTTCCCTCCTCGTCCTCTTGCCACCTCCTGCCCAATTTCTCCTCCTGACTCCTGCTTTGCCCCTCCCCATGTCCTCTCGGATCGAAGGTTGCGATCCTCGCCTTGTTTTATTGCCCAGCAATAGCAAGCCGCACCGAAGGATCCTCTTCCCTCTGTGCTCTCCGTTTTGCGGCTGGTCTGGCATTGGGGTGGGGGGCTGGGGGGTCCCTCGGACAGGGGGGCGACCGATCCTTTCTTTCCTGTCTTCGTCATGCTCTTCCTCCTCCTTCCCTGCCCCCGCCCCCTCGTGCAAGGCGTTGTGCCCCATCGTGGAGCGCCTCTGCTGCTCCATGATGATGCACGGCAGGAACAACGGCAAGAAGCTTATGGCCGTGCGTATCGTGAAGCACGCTTTCGAGACCCCCTCCCCCCTGGCGCGTGTGCTGGTTGCCTCCCTCGCCTCGGGGGCGGAGAGGGGGAGGGACAAGCTAGGTGCGCTCGCGCCTCGTCTGACATTTTTTCCTTCTCTCCGATCCCTTCTCCTGGCGCTGATGTTTCATTATCCGTGGACGCGTGTCATAGCCGACCTTCGACTCCCACAGCAGGAAGACCACTTCGTGGCATGCGCAATCGGAAAAAGGGAGAGCTGCGTGCACAGGAGAAGGAGGAGGTGGAGGGTGAACAGGAGGCTGAGCAGGAGGAACAGGATGAGGACGACCAGCGGCAGCAACAGCAGGCGGAAGGATGGGGGAAAAGAATGATCAGGGGAAGGCGGAGCAGGGATAATATGGGGGGCGACAGCGATGAAGAAAGACTCGGAGTCAGAAACGTGGCCCTCGCTTGCGCGAGACGAACAGCAGTAGCAGGGACTGGAGTGGAAGGAGCGGGAGGAAAGGAGGATCAGGGGAAGGCGGAGGAGGGGAAATGAGGGGGGGAACCACAATGAAGCTAGACTCGGATCCAGAAAAGTGGCCCGCGCTGGGGCGAGAGCGCCATTCTGTCGAGAGGTGACCCACTCCCCTATGTATCATAGCACGTTGATGTGGATTGTGTGAGAATTTCACGGGTGCCCCGCCCGTCTGCCTTCAGCTTGCCCCAATCCTCTCTCCCTGCCTCTTGACCCCCCCCTTTTTTGCCACGCCCCCTTTTCGGCCCTAGTCTTAGGGCCCTAAGACAGCAACCGGCGCCGCGTGCCCGCTGAGAAAAAACATTACTGACATTGGTAGCGGAGCTTGTACGCTCCACGCCTGAGCTTGCACGCGACTCCCGCGCGGGCCGGCGCCATGTTTGGCTCGCGAGATGCTGATAGCGAGGTGGCATCCTCGCCTTCGGCTGGCGACGATCCGGGTGCTACTCCGGATCTGAATGCAGTGCTCCGCGTCTTGGCGGAGACGCAGAGGGATCTCCTCCGCTTGCAGCGCGAGGGAGGTCCACGTCGGACACGGCTGCTGCTGTCGCAGGTGAAGTTGCTCGAGTTCGACGGGGACGTGAAGACGTCGACGAAGCGCTATAGAGAGTGGCGAAAGAACTTGAGCATCATCCAGAACCTCAACCAGTTGACGGACTCGGGGCTCGCCCTGATCATCTTCAGCCAAGTGAGTGGCAGGGCAAAGACACTCATCGAGATCATGGAGCCCGAGGACCTGAGGAAGGACGACGCCTTGGAGATGATTTACGCGATATACGACGATGCCTTCGAGAAGATGGACCACGAGAGGCTCGACAACGTACACCAGGAGTGGGAGAAGGCAACACGGCGTCAAGGCCAACCCATGATGGATTGGATCACCTACCAGAGGAAGAAGAGGATGGAGTTGCAGCTCCAGGACCTGGCCTCGGCGATCTCGGACACGGCCTTGGCGAGCAAGATGTTGCGGGGGGCAGGCCTCGCGCAGCGCGAGCGCAGCCAGGTGATCTTCAACTGCGGCGGGATCTACGACTCGAAGCGGATGGAGACGGTGTTGAAGGTGGCGCATTCCAAGATACACGAGGTGGAGAAGAATAGCAACTTACTACCTAGGAGGTCCCACGCTGCACTACCGTATCGTGCTCGTGATGGGAGGTTCCAGGGGGCCCGCGATGACAGGAACAAGGACAAAGGCTACAAGGCGAAGTTGGCCATCCGCGGGAACCACACGACGGTGCACGAGACGGAGGACCCAGAGGACGACCAGCACAATGGTGAGGAGAGCGAGCATGGTCAGGAGCACGATGAGGATCACGAGGAGGACCCAGAGGTGTACTTTGAGGACCAGGAGGACGATAGGGACCAGCTGGAGGAGGAGCAGGTTGAAGGAGTGGGTGACGAGGACGACGTGGAGCTGGAAGAGGAACTCCAGGAGGCCTTCGTCGCCGGCTGGCGGGCTAAGCAGAAAACCGCTGCTCTCAGGCTGAAGCGGGGCTACGTTGCACCGAGGTCTCGGGGCAGCCGGGGAGGCAGCAGCAGCGACCGGCCTCCACCCGGATCTACAAGTTCTCCACAGAAATTCGACCAGAAACCTGACCAGAGAAAAGCCAGCAGTCGTTGTGCCGACTGCGGCCGCCTCGGGCATTGACGCGGTGACGCAGAGTGCCCTAAGGTGGCCAGCGGTAAGCGTGAGCCTTATAAGAAGAAGCCGGGTACAGAGGCCGCTGGCTCGAACAAGCCATCGAGGGTGCATGGTCCAGTATTGCACTGGGTCGGCGTGGCTACTTCTGAAAAGAGGTGCCAGGGCGCAGAGCCCAAACACAGGCCTAGGAGAAAGCAGGACACCAGGAGCAGCAACAGTTCAGACAGAGTCGAGAAAATCAAGCTCACGGCCAACACCTTTGATGACGGGCGCGACGTCGAAACTAGAGTGCCCGCGGCCAGAATGGCGCGGCACATGCAGAGACGTGTTGAGGACGATCGCAAGCACATCTGGTTTAAGAACGGCTCTTGCCGGCACATCGTGGAGGTCGACAATTGCGTCGTCACGCTGAGGCTGGCTACGAAGCTTGCGGTCCGTGACGTGGACACGGGGGACATCGTTGCGACGATCGCGAAGATTCTCAACGCGAGCGCAAGCGAAGGTAACGACTACAAGGAGGTTGTGGACAACTGCGAGCAGAAGGTTAACGACCACAAGGAGGTTAAGGAAGATATGGCATCGAGGAGGCTGCCTTCGCCCGGAGGTCGCCCGGCCCGCTCGAGGAGGACTTCTCCCCGGACTTGCAGGGCGTCTTCGAGAGAGCCACGCGGGCGTTCCTTGGAGCGCAAGGTGGCTCCGAGGTGGTCGTCTGCAGGCGACTCCGGGCGCAACCGCGCGAAACGCCAGCCTACGTCACATGAGAGGCCTCAGAGCGCGCCTCCCCGTGTTGCAACACGGAGCGCGGCCGCGCTTGGGACCGAAACTCGTAGGAGGACGAGGGTGAAGGAGGAGCCTGAAGATCGAGACATTGATCGAACATCCAATCAAGCAGAACGACATAAACGTTGTCATCGTGAGCAAGAGGCTTCCCCGCTCCCCTCCGGGGACAAGCAGCGGAGGGAGGAGCTGCAGGAGCAGGTGCAGGTACTCGAGGCGAGGGAGAATAGCCTGGGGGAGAAGGTGGTCGGCGAGCCGACTTCAGCAGATATCATGGGCCGGCTCCAGCAGAGACGGCAACAGGACGGTAGGTCTCGAGGTGCTCGGTTGCCATCGGGCGAGGACGAGGAGAAAGGAGCAGGCAGCGCGTGGAAGAATATGGTTGAGACTCGGCGCGTTGCACGCGTGAGGGGAGAAACCGCTGCGTCTGCTGCTCGCGCTTCGTCCGAGGCCGGGGGCGCAGCAAGCAGGGGGCGGCCAGGGGAGGATATCGCGACGAGCAGCGGCGCAAGATTTACGATGACCCAGCCGCGCTCGAAGATGAGCGACATCGAGAAGAAGGAGATGCACCGCGACATGTACCAGGGCCAGGTGATCGGCGGTCGCTTTGAGGCGGGGCCGAAAGCCAAGTGCGACCCAGACCGCATCAGAGCGCAGTTTAGATTGCAGCCGCCCGTTCGAGAAGCTGAGGTGGCAGGCCAATGCCACCGCTGTGTGCGCCAAGTGCCAGGCGTGCGGCCTCAAGTCGGTGGTCCACTTCACCGTGGCCGACGAGGAGGGCAATCCAGAGGAGAAGGAAGAGGACCCATGGCTCAATGACGATCCATGGAGTAAGAGTGGCCTAGCAGGAAGCGCTAAAGCAAAAGGAAAATGAGGAGGACGTCACGAAGGAGGAGGACGCCACCCCAAGGACACCACGAAGGAGGGCGATGCGGCCACGACAGGTGCGTCTGCAACAGGTGCCGCGGGGACGTACATGACCATAAATGACGACACCGAGCCCTCTACTAGCGACGTTCCTGTGGTCGTGTTGCCCGGCGGCGTGGCTATGTTGGATACTGGTTGCAAGCGTGCCGTCGGCGTGCTCGTTTCCAGGATCAGCTGGGCAAGCTGGGTTTTAGCTACGAGCGCATCCCGCGGCAGGAGTGCTTCAAGTTTGGACCGGGGGAACCCATTTTGAGCTTATGCACGTGGCGGTGTCCTGTCGGTGTTGATGATAGTCTCTCTTACCTCACGATTGTGGAGGTTGCAGCGGACGTTGCTGGACTGATTGGGCCGGGCGAGATGGCCGAGTGGGACGCGAGCATCAGTTTCCGCGACGGTACGTTTTACGCAAACGGTGCGAAGTCTAACTTGATACCCTCGGCGAGTGGACATCCGCGCGTCTCGCTCCTGGACTTCCCAGTGGAACCTCCTGCCACGCCTTGCGCGGTAATGGCCACTACGGCCGGAGCCCCCGAAGACGACGCGCCAGAGTTAGACGAGCTGGGCGACGATATGTTCAGTTCCGATGGCTCTGAGGACCCGGCGCTCGATGATGATGCCCGTGGCGGTCTGGAGGCTTCCTCGGGCGTTGCATCGTCCAGTGGTTCGGATTCGGCTGAGAGGTCGTCTCGCAATCGCACCGGCTCCGAGGCAGAGCAGAGCGAGGGCGACGCGAGCGAGGGCGACGTTTTCATGGGGGACGTCGAGACAGAGGCGGTGATGTCCAAGGGGGCTAGGAGGCATGTTAGGAGTAACATCAAGGAGCTGCACGCCGCTATGTGCACAGAGGCGAGTCGGAAGCAGGAGCCTAGGCAGCAGCATCGGCCACAGCGGCCGGAAAAGGAGTTTTACCTTCCCTCCGGCCCCGACCTGAAAAGAACGAACAGGAAGCCAGGAGCTTGGAGGCTACTGGAGATTTTTACTTGGACGTGTCAGCTTACCATCTTGGCAGCGGCATTGGGTTGGGATGCGTATCAGCCTATCGCGTCGCCAGCCTTTGACCTCCTTGTGCCGCAGGGCCGGAACGAGGCTAGGAGGTATCTTATCGAGGCGGACCCGGATCTTGTCACGATGGTGCCTCCCAGTGCGAAACGGTACAACATGCAACACCAGCTCACGCCACTACAGGAAAGGCGCCGGCGTCGAGAGCAAGAGACGGACCGCGCCATCATCGCATTCGTCGACGAAGTTATGCAGTGGCAGGCGGACCGCGGTCGAGCAGCGTTCATCGGGATTCCTGCCCAGTCAGCTCGCTGGCAGGCGTTGCCACTCCAGGCCACGAGGGGACGATCCGAGTACGTGGAGGTGGTGACGGACGCGCTTCGCCATGACCCTCAACATCCAGACAGCGGTGAGCATCTTAAGATACCTACCCCGGTCTTGGCGAATCCCGAGATCTGCGACGCCGTTAGGGGGTCCCGCGATAACGACCACCAGCGCGAGAGCATTAAGGACCGCGTTACGACGACGAAGGACGACGCTTACATATCGATGTGCCTATCGAGTTTGGCTGGTGGCTACACCGAGGAGGCGGCGAAGAACATCCCTACAGGAGCTCTTGATTTTCTCACCCGCAATTGCGTCAACGTCTTCCCCTCCGACCCGCCCGAGCCGAGTGGGGAACCGCGCAGTTTTGGACCTGAGTTAACCGAGCTCGGACCCCGGCTCCAGACGGTCGCAGAGGAGACGATGATGCATCCAGAGGAGGAGGAACCCGACGAGCAGGCAGACACGTGGTCGGACCAGGAGCTTCCGGAGGCTGTCCGGGGAGATGTTTTGGCCAAAGTTCCGAGGGGCATCCGGAGAGCCGTGAGGAAGGCTCACAGTGGGCTTGGACATCCAATCCGTGACACATTCTTAAAGATGTTGCGGCTTGCAGGCGCGACACCACCAGCCCTGGTCTACGCGAAGCAGTGGCAGTGCCCGACGTGCGCGGAGTCGGCCCCGCCAGGCCGACATCTCCTCGCGAGCGCGGCGGTGCGACCCTATGGCGCCAACAAGGTTCTGGTGATCGATGTGAAGTACTTGAAAGATGCCGCCGGGAAGCAGCTCGTCGTGCTGAGCATGGTCGACGCGGGCACGGGGTGGCACGTGGCCACCTTCCTTAAGAATAGGCGCGCCAAGCATGTGGCCAGGAAACTCATGAGCGAGTGGTTTAAGCATGACGGAGTGCCTGAGACCATTATCGTGGACCAGGGTGGTGAGTTCGAGTCTTATTTCAATGGTATCCTTGAGCAGTTCGGTATCAACAGCAAGACGGTAGGAGCCCATGCTGCGTGGCAGCATGGGGTCGCCGAGCGGCACGGTGGACTATTGGGAACTATCTGGGCCAAGATCGTCCATGTGTTCGACATCAGAGCAGGTCATGCCGCGAACATTGCATTGTCCGCAGTAGTCAACGCCAAAAATTGTACTTTGACGCGTAACGGCGCCACCCCCGAGCAGGCGGTCTTCGGCAGAGCGCTCAACTTTACGAAGCTGGCCAACCGCGACGACGACGAGGTGCTCATGTCGGTCCTGGGCTCGCACGGGGTTGCATGGAAGGCGTCTCAAATCAGGACGGCTGCCAAGGTGATGTTGCTGGAGCGCGATGCCGCCGAGAAGGTGCGCAGGGCAATGCTACGCCAGGCGCCCACGGTGGTGGGGGACCTCTGCCCAGGAACCCGGGTGTATTTCTGGTCGCCGAATCCATTCAAGGGGGCGAGGCGCCAGGGCCCAGAACGTTGGAGAGGTCCGGCAACAGTCATTGCTAAGGAGACGAATGGACGTTACTACCTGTCGTGGAGAGGACGTGTACTTCTTGTTGCACGATGATGAAGCCGCAGCCGCAGCCGCAGGCGAGATCCAGGCAGACCTCGGCAGGACTTCCGAGAAGGAAGACAGGGCGTACCGTGACATGGTGGATGTGACGGCCACTCCCAAGGTGCACGAGCGTGTAAAAAAGTCCATCCTCAAGAAGTACCGGCCTAGTATGAAGGAGCTGGTGGCCCCGAAGGTGGCCTTCAAGGCTCTGCAAGCTTTGGGCGCCCCGGAGGGCGCCCCTGCGCGGCAGGCGCCGGAGCCCAAAAGGAGGTCGAGTCCTACGTCTGCGCCGCACTTAGAAACTCCAGCTCTCACGGAACCTCCCCCTGAGGGAGGAGCAGGTTCGAGTGCAGCTCCGTGGGCGGATCCTGTGGGCATGGATCTAAGCAAGCTTCCGCCGATGCCATATGACGAGTTCGACGCTGGGCGAAAGCGGAAGTTTCTTTTGGATGACGTGCCCGTGAGCATTAAGCGAACGCGCATCCAGGAGCAGCCGCCATCTGGACTGGCAGCTCTCCAGACGGTGGCCGTGAGCTTCGTGGTCCACGCGGGCGGGCGCGAGTGGTTGGATAAGGGCCAGCTTGCAAGCTCATCTACATTGCTACGTAAACAGGTGCAGGGCGCTCGCTTGCACGCGCAGCCCCGGCGCCGACTCTACGACCACCCGAGGCGCAAGGCGTGCAACAGGCTCAGTGTTATGGTTACGGAAGATGTTACATGTAAATTTATGGAGGACGGCGCGGAGCGGCAGAATCAGAAGATGGAATTTTCGTGTAAGGGGATGGCGATCTTTTACCACGACATTCCATTGGATACTGCAGTTGGCACATACTTCATTGACACCCCAGTTGGATTGGTTAAAGTGCCATGTGCTTACGAAGAGTGGGAGAACGTGTCCGATGTCTTCCAGACCTGGGGGCACGACGCCAGATTTGAGCATGCTGTGTACGCCATGGTCCTCAAGACCAACGCGAAAGAGTTGGATCCCCGGTTCTTCAACGAGGAGGAAAAGAAGTTGTTCGATGCCGCGGACGAGGCTGAGTGGAAGCAGTGGCTCGCGAACGGCGCTGTGGAACTCGTGGGTGAACATATGGAGAAGCACATCCCGAAGGACAAGATCATCAGCGTGCCCATGAGGCACGTGCGGACTAACAGGGGGAAGGCGCCGGACATCGAGACCAAGTCACGTTTAATCATTCCTGGACAACACGATCCGCAACTCGGCCTCCTCCGGACGGATTTACCCACAACTTCTTCGTTAGCAGTGCTTGTGTGCGCGACCATCGCCATCAGTTTCGACTGGGGCTTCGAGGTTTTCGACGTCGCTACGGCTTTCTTGTCAGGTATGCGTTTGGACCGAGAGCTGTATGTCCGAGCCCCCAGGGACGGTCTCCCCTCCCCTCCAGGATCTGGTTGGCCACCCGTGCGCCCCTATGCCCTTCTCCGTCTTTTGAAGGGCGCTTATGGACTGACAGAGGCACCGCGACTATGGTGCCTCAAGGCGCGACGGGTTCTCGTGGACGTGTTGCATTTCGTGGAACTACGCTGCGCGAGGGCGGTTTTCGTGAAGAGGCTGCGCGGGAAGATCGTTGCTTTACTTACCTTGCACGTTGATGACGGCATGCTGTTCGGAAACACGTCTTCCAGGGAGTACCGGCAGGTTGAGGGCGACATCAACGGCAATTTCAACGTTGAGCATTGGAAGCCTGGTAACAACACGAACCCCGTAGAGTGCTTAGGAGAGCACTGGTACCGGCACCCGGACTGCATCGAGATCAACATGCACGAGTACATCGAGAAGTTACCTATCCGCATCAGGCGCGACGAGGGCGACACGAGGGTCATGACCCCAGCTGAGGTGCAGGAGTTCCGTAGCGTGTTGGCCAAGGTACGGTGGCCTGTGGCGCGCTTGGTACCGCAGCTGGCCTATGGAGTCTCGGCCCTTTCGCACAAGGATTCGAGCGAGAAGCAAGTCCTACATATACGAGCTCTTAATGAGTTGATCGACCGGTTAAAGGGTTACGACAAGCAGGGGCTGGCAACACTGCGACTCCGGAAGCTCAACATCGAGAATTTGATGGTTCTTACTTTGATGGGCGCTTCTTTTGCCAAGGAGGCGGGCTGTAAGAGCCGAGTGGGTTTCATGAACGTGTTGACGGGGATCGGCATCCAGACAGGCCCGGAGACTTGCGATTTAGTGGAGTTCCAGAGCAATACTATCACGAGAGTTGTTGGCTCCACTATGGCGGCGGAGTCGGCGGCAATGCCGGTGGCCTTGGACAGGCAGTTGTATCTGCGTTTGCTCATCGAGAGTGTCCTCTTCGGTGAGCCCGATCTTCAAGGTGATTGGAGGCTCAAATTGAGGATCCCAGGAGGATTGGTTACTGATGCAAAATCGATGTTCGACCACATGAGCAAGATCGGATCTCTGCCGGTGTCGCGGCAGACCCTCATCGATTTGCTTGTGGCCCAGGACCTGATCGAGCAGGAGACCATCAAATTAAGATGGCTTCCGAACACGCACATGCTAGCAGACATCCTGACGAAGGCGGTGCAGCCCAATTCCGTGTTGGAGCTGTTTCTGAAGACTGGCCTCTTCAGCCTGGTACCGACGAGCCAGCAGGAGAACATGGGGCGGCACCGCCAGGCGTTACGACAAGGACAGCGTGAGCGAGCGAAGGAGAGGAGGAAGGCCCAGCGTGTGGCTGGGAACGCGGGAGCTGCGTCTCCCTAGTGACGGGGCCGCCGCGCGGGCCCATGGTAGAGACGGAGAGTTGCATCTCTCTTGCGAGCGGGGCTGTGGCCCGATCTCGCTGTGGTGAGTTAGCAGGAGCTGCGCCTCCATCGCGGTAGAGCGAGCGGGGCCGGCAGACGGTCGGCACCTTTTCCCACCCAGTGTGAGAATTTCACGGGTGCCCCGCCCGTCTGCCTTCAGCTTGCCCCAATCCTCTCTCCCTGCCTCTTGACCCCCCCTTTTTGCCGCGCACCCTTTTCGGCCTTAGTCTTAGGGCCCTAAGACAGCAACCGGCGCCGCGCGCCCGCTGAGAAAAAACATTACTGACAGATTGATGCATGCATGTACTGTGTTGTGTGCTGAAGCCGTTTTGACAAACAGCCCTCGAAAGGGACATGCCATAACATCGGTTATTGATGTCAAGACGGCAGCGGAGCGCGGGTGACACCGACCCGCAGATCCATTAGGCCCGGCGGCCGGCCCTTGAGGCAGCCGAGCAGCCGCGATGAACGTGGAGGCGCTCATGGCAGAGTTGCAGGTGGCCTAGAATCGGTCGAGACCTAGAATCAGACGACGGTCGAGACCTAGAATCAGACGACCACGGTGTTCTGGACGGAGCGAATAACGCAGGTGCGGCATCCATTCAGCAGCAGACGACAGAGGCTTTCGCCAGTGCGCTCACCCGACACAAAGGGAAGCCGCACACTTTCGACAATATCAAGAAGCTCGCCTCCAGGATTGGCACTTTCATACGTTCAGGGCCTTTATCGGCGACCGGGGCAGGAAGTGTTTGGAGGGCATGACGCAGGTGGAGTACAGCCAGCATGCCCTGAACCTGCACAAGCTACGACGACGAGTGGAGGCAGATGGCCCAGTCCCTGCACTATCAGGTGACGCTGTGCACGGAAGGGGCGCCGCTCGGTATCATCCGTCCAGTGAACAATTAAGGCTGATTCGAGGTCTTCGTCGCTTGCGTTTCCAGTGCGACCCGCAGAACATGGGCAGTAAATGGCCACGTTTGATGATTGTGTTGGGGTTCGTCGGCGGCGAGGCAACATTCCTCGACAACGTGGCGAAGTTCTAGATCTTCATCGACGTCTTCGACAGGATGGCCAATGAGGGTCTGAGGGGCAACATCCGCGCGGCGGTCCTGATCGCGAGGTGCCCCGAGGCGCTGCGGAACCACGTCCTCCCCTCGATCCCGAAGGAGGGTATCCAGTGGACACGTGGGATGAAGGATGCCGCTGGTTACCGTTTTGCGAAGCAGTGCGTGCCAGGTGGAATGGCGGACCAGACAGGGCAATGGCAAGCGCGACGAGATCAGAGGCAGGGGTGACGGCGCGGGCGGCGGGGACAGGGGCAAGACAGCACCCGGTGGCAGCGGCCAGGACCGGGCAAGGTCAACAGTATCACCGGCTGGGACAACACGAGCTGGGACGAGGGCGCCGATTGGAACGGACGGGGCCCCAGCAACATCGACGAGAAGGAGCAGAGTAACGCCCGGACCCGCGAGGATGCCAGCGCGGTCGGAACCGACGCCGCGACGTGCCTGGGGCGCGAAGGCGCTGCGTGGATCTTCGCCATCGGCGTGCCAAGCGGCCCGAGCGGCGCGAGAGTCGGAGACGTGGTGGACCTCATGGTGGATGCGGGTGCCAACGAGTCTTTGCCCGACCGTCGAGGACCGCGTGGTTGGGGCTTCAGTGGCGAACGAGATGATCCTCAAGCGCTGCGGCGACAAGCGGGTGAACCTCAGGACCGAAGACGACCAATAGCTGACTGCGAGGTTCCACGTCGCGTATGTCTCGTCGCCGACTCTGAGCGTCAACAGCGTCAATGTGGCAGGAGTTGGGTGGAGCTGCCGCCTGACGGCTCGATGGGCCCGCCCGCGACCGCGCGGGATTCGAGGATGTGTCGATCGCGGCCTGGGCTAATGCGGATGTCCGGCCTGTGCTTCCTGCGCGCGACCGTCTTGAGCTGCGTCGGCGCCGAGAGCGGCGCGGGCGGCCTGCTCGTCGACGACGTGGGGGCTGCCCCTTCCAGGGCGCTTCATCGCGACGCAGGTTTACCAGTCGATGGGGTTATCAGTGGGGCCAGAGGCTACGGCGGCGGCGGCGCCGCGAGGGCCGACGAGGGCCGAGATGGAGGCCCATGAGGCCCGCCACTGCCCGCGTGCGGCGTCGTGCGCGGGCCGCGCGGGGGGGCGAGGCCTGGGCGACAGGCGCGAGAGTGCCAGGGAGGTGGGAGGTGTGCCTGTGGCCCAGGTCGGCGGCGTGTTTGTCGAGGCGCGTTATGGCGAGAGAGCGCGCCCAGTCATGGGCGCGATCGACAAGGTGTGCCACGCGACGGCCTCGATCTGGTGCGAGGCCAAGGGGGGCGGGGGCCCGTGCGCGGTGGAGAGTGTCAAACGGTGCGTGGAGAAGCTCGGATTCGAGAAGGTCACCACCCAGTGCGACCCAGAGAGTGCTGCGAAGGACGTGGTTATGAAGGTCGCCGTCGACTTGGTCATGACCTTCGGGGCGACCCCGAAGGCGAGCCGGGGCTGCAACGGTGCGGTGGACAAGTTCCACTCGTTTGTCGAGGGCGTGACGAGGGCTTGGAGGACGGCCATAAGTGGCGAAATTCCGGTGTGCGATCGAGCTGACGCTCCCTGATGGCCTGCATCGCGCGCCGCGCGTCGTGGACTCGCGATCGGTTCCTCGACCGCCGGTCTGACTGCCAGTGACTGCAGGGCGTCCTGTGAGCGCCCGTGCGAGAGGTGCCGAGACACTGAGGCCCCCCCCCTTGGCGAGGCGATCATGTGGAGGCAGGCTGGGCCCATCGTCCGCGAGATCGAGACCGCGCGGGTGGCGATGCCCGCATCTGCGGCGCCGAGCGCGGCGCCGTGGTCGCGAGTTCCGTGCGGGGGCTCGGTGGGCGAGCGCCGCGACAGGCAGCTGCTGCTGGCGATGGAGGGTATCTCGAGCCGCGCGAATGCACCAAATGTGACGGCGCCAGTGACGGACCGACCCGCCGGCGACTTCGACCCCCCGCAGTCGCCCAGGCACCCGGGGCCGCGGGCGGCCGCGGCCGAGGGGGCAGCCGCGCGCGGAGGCCAGACCGGAGGAGTCGCAGGCGGGGGGGCCAGGAGGCGCCGAGGGAGCAGGGGGCCGCCGCCCAGCGAGCCGCGCGGCAAGAGGGCCGCGGTTGCGAGTTCTGCTGCGCCTGAGGCGAAGCGTGCAGCGGCTGAGGGGCCTGAGGGCTCGGCTGGTAAGCGGGCCAGCGAAGGCGCGCCCGGTGGAGGTGAGGCGCGTAAGGAGAGAGGGGTCGGCGCGGTAGGCGTTGACGGCGTGTCCGTCGCCAATGCCATATGAGGCAGCGCTCCGATTTCAGCAGTTCCTGGGGCGCGTCGTGACTGGCTTCGGCCTCCTCGAGGTCCGCGTGGCGGAGCCCGCCATCTGCCGCAGCGATGGGAAGGGCGTTCGGGTCGTGGTCCACGCGGGCGATCCTCCCGGCGCTGGCCATGCGCGAGGTGTGCTCGACGAGTTGTTCGACGAGCTGGTCGAGCATCTCGCAATCGAGGAGCGGCGCGTCCTGGGGGGCAGCCCCGCGTTATACCTCGGCTCGTCGATGCAGCGATGCCGTGGCGCGGTCGTGGAGAGGAGCAAGCCATTGTGTGTTGAGAGCATCCTCGATGCCGCGGGGATGCTGGGCTGCCGGCCTGCGGGCGCGGCGGGGGCTCGAGCTGACCTCGCCTTGCCTGTGGCCGAGCAGCCGCCCAACGGCGAGGCGCGCTCGCTGTGCTGGATGTGCTGCGGGAAGAGCCAGTGCGCGGTCCCGCGGCGGCTGGGCGTGCCGCGCCCGCTGATGGAGCTGGGTCGACGGCCGGGCGAGCCGCGTGCAGCCGACATGATGTCTTTGGGGCACCTCCTCTGCTACCTCAGTGGGGCGATGGTCTTGGCGATGGCCCGCCGGTCCGCGAAGTGCTGGGGGCGCCGGCGGGGAAGCGCGGCCTCCGACTGGGCTGGCTGCCGCGAGGCCCGAGAGTCGACGGCGCGCGGGATCGCGCGGTGGCGCAGCGCGGCCATCCGCGCGCGCGCCCGCGCCGAGTCGGTGCTCCCCCAGTCGAGGCCAGAGGCCGAGTGCCTGGCAGTGGTGGAGTTGGCGGCGGAGATGCTGTGCGTGCAGGAGCGCATCGCGTTCGTGGAGTTCGACGTGGCGCTGGAGATCGACTGCGGCGCTTCCTCCGCCATCGCGATCGCCTCGCGGCGAGAAAACGGGAGGCTGCGCCACTTGGAAGTGACGTGGCTGTGGCTTCAGCAGCTGGTCGGAAGCGGCCAGATCAGGATCGCGAAGGTTAGGGGCGCAGAGAGCCGCCTCCGACGTCGGCTCGAAGTATCTCGGCGGAGCTGCGCCCGAGAAATGCGAGTTCATGCTCGGACTGTGCCTCGCTGGCGCGCTCTGCGCGGGCGTTGTTGCTGCCCTGGCGAGGAGTGCGCGATGCTTTGCGACGTTCGTGTTGCCGGTGAACGGAGTGCGGCCCCGGGCAGATGCTCCTGGCCACCGTTGGGCCCTGCGCAAGTTGATCTTGTTGGCCTGGTCGGCGTTCTGCGTGACGCTGGGGGTCGTGATCCCTGTGCGCTGCCACTACCTACTCGGGCAGCGTCCCGCGGGGACAAGGCCATGGGCGGAGCCGCTGCCACGTCAGGCTTCACCAGCGCCAGTCTCAGAACCGCATGGCCCATCAGACGCCAAGAGAGAACTTCGTGAGCGTGCTGGATCCTTCTAGCTGTGCCACGTGGCGGGGGGGGATGGTGCGGGGGATGTCCTGGCGATGAGGGCGCGTCGCCTGATCAGAAGGAGTGAATGCTTGCTGTGCGCTCGGGCCGTGGGCCCCCGTGTCAGGACGTTATACCGCGCCGAGGATGATGATCTCGGGGGGGGCCAGACGGCGATCCACGCCGACGAGGACTGCCGCGGTCTGAGGGCGACGGTGCGCCGTTTGGTGTGCAGTGGCGCGTGTGCGATTTGCTCCGGCTTTGGTCGTCGCGGCTGAGGGGCGCTCGCCTCGCGCGCGCCAGCGGCGAGAAACTCGAGGGGGGGTGTCGAGAAGTGACCCGCTCCCCTGCGTATCATCACGCGTTGATGTGAGTCGATGAATGCGTGGGCTTTGTTGTGTGCAGAGGCCGTTTTGGTAAGCGGCAGTCGATAGAGAAGCATCATGCCATTGTTTATATATGCCAGAAGATTTCGAACGACGCGAACAAAACGCCGATCCGAACATGAGGCCCGCGCTGCAGCTGCGGCACAGTTTCGAAACGCCAAAAACACTCGGATTCTAGCGGCCCTTTCAAATTCAACTTTTGATTGCAGCCGCAGGACATGAACAACAAACCGATAAACCGATAAACCGACGAACCGATAAACTATTTCGGCCTATTGGTATCTCGGCAGGCCGACCGAAAAACCGAAATGCTTACATCGGTTTATCG